CCGTTATTTCTTTTAAACGCCTTAAAAAGATGTCTTATCTCGTTTTGGTAAACCAACTATCTTGTAACGGCTCATGCAATGGTTTCCAAACTTTTACGTTTTGTAATTAATAAAGTATTCTCTCATAATAAATTTAAATCGAATGATGTAAATATATGTAATATGATATAACTGACACTATTGAATGTTTAACAAATCTATGTTAGGTTTAATTAAATGAAATTTTAATGCAAAGAACATATCACGAATATTCATAATAAACTATAAACAATAATTATTTATAATTTATAACAAAGCAATAATTATATTATACGACAAAAATTTATTCTAGTTTTATCAAACGCATAGATACTTTAAAATAAATGTTAAAAACAATGTTTAAAACAAATTTCCTAAATATAAAAATACGAAATTATAATTGAATAAAAACAATTTTTTTTTTCTTTGAAGATAAAAGCAATAGCATAACGAAGTTCAGAAGTCACTAGGCGAAAAATGTTTCTCTCGTAGTTGAGTCAGATGCTTTCGCGACTGATTAAATAATGATACGGTTGATACCATTATGATTTTTTATTTTACCAATCACATTCCGATAATCTCGAAACATCAGCCCCCTTCGCACACGTTTCACTCTCTCCGATTTCAAAGCTGCTACTTGGGTGATTATGTTTCGCTAGGCGACAATCGCATCCGTTTCTCACGATACCTGAAGAGCCTCTCTGTGTTGGAGAAAAGAGTTCTCTTGTCTCTTTCGACGAGACGAGTCGGCTCATTCTTACGCTTGTTTTGCGATTTATCGTGTGACCGACAGCACCCCGCCGACAACGGAAACGTGTCGCAAAGTGTACGGTTTGTATCTTCTTTCGTCAATCAACTTGCAATTAGCATTATACAATCATCACAGATACAAGAAAGGAGGATGTCCGAAGAGGGAAAATTTGAATAAAGTGATTAGATGAATTGAAGAGAAACTTCTCTGTTTAGTTTTAATATTTGGAAGCCAATTTAGAATTTAAATAAGTTTTAGTAAAATATTTGTTAAAATATTATTAATTATTTTTTAACATTATGCGTGACTAAAATTCCTGTTTCTTTAAAAATAAATATAATGTAATCAAAATATTTTAACGATAATTTCAATGGTATATAAAAATGTTCGTCTTTTGGTTTTATTATATTATTATATCATCTTTCCGTTAGATGTATTGCGAATTCGTGAATATTTATATGTATGATGTATAAATGAAATTATTTCCATATCTGTCTCTCACCGTTAAATTACTAAATATTCTAATGAAATATACAGAGGAAAACAATTAGTCGAGTATCAATCAAGATTGATATAGATAACGGAAAATATTTCAAAGCGAAAGAAAGTTTTAATAACGTCCATTGTTTCCGTGAAAAAAGAAACGAATAATAAATTACACTTCTTGACAACGAAAGGAAAGATGCTCAAGATACATCGCTAGCTTAAGGTTAATATCTGCAAAAACGCGCGTTCTAAACCAATTAACAGATCTTAAAGTATAATAACATACTACGCCAATTCATCTCTCAGAGATCGGATCTACCGCGTAACAAGCTTCTCCGGCATCGCCCATCGATTAAATCCCACGTGAAAATGCGTCGCGGCAATTTCTTGCGGCTTTACGTGCTATTAAATCGCAATTCGAAGATAGCTGGCGGTCGTTTCTCCTCGCGGGCACGCAAAGAGGAGGTACATACCGTATCATACGAGTTCGCGAGGCTCGCGCTGCGGAACGCGGCGTGGAAGCCGACGCGACGGTGCGTGGCTGGAACCACCTGCTTCCGGTCGTTGTACCGGTGGCGGTTACCGCCACCACGTTTTCCACGAGACGTGCAACCGTATTACCCCGCGGTTACATTGCCGTTACATCGTCATTGTCCGACCGCGATGTACAACACCCTTTGAGGCATTATCGTCAATTTGGCGATGCATACGAAAATACTTCACGCAATAATTAGCCAATGTGCGGTATTTATAACAGATACATTTTTAACGGATCTCTACGATAATGATATCAATTCGTAAAAAAGTTTATTCTTATAGAAATGTAATGTTAGAAGATAGTGATTAATTACTTATTCTGAATAATAAAAGCACTGAACGACAGTGTAAAATAAATAACTTCTAGTATTGAATTGGTCAGTATTTTGGATTTTTGTAACGGTCGTATCGCGTAATTATTATATTTACACATTTCTAATATATTTGTTAAATAGCATTAGAAAAGAATGTTGATAAAATTTAAAGTAGGAGAGAATACATTTTCATATCGTATATTAAGGAGGCATAAAACACATACATATATTAATATTTACGCTTTAAACAGATTACATACATATGAAAATGCGTTCATAACGTTCTGTTTTTATTGAGCAACACATTTTTATAGATCATTTATTTTATTTGTTATTTTTATAATTGTTATAAACAAAAATTTTTTTAATGATAACAAAAATTTAAATTGTTTTGTATAAGTACTTTTTTAAGTATTAAAAATGACATATGCAAAGTTTCACTGAGGTTCACCAATTAGATTGTAACAAATAAATATTTTGTTTATTTACTGAACAATTAATGTCTGCATCTCAATGTAACTTTACATAAATATTCTTAAATTCATAAAGTACTTGTATAAAAAAATTGAGATTTTTATCATTATTTTATAATACATTTTAACATTTTCTATTAGAGTACAAATTACAAAAAATATTACTTTTTATTGAAATAACTTTTGATCCAGATGGTAAGCTGTCTCTAATTTTTGTTGTATTACTTTTAAATGCAATTTAAAGTAATCTGTAATTTTTTCAAGTAATTCTTAACATATCCCCCCATTTGCCTTACAACCTCCTTAATGGAATATGATTTCCATACTCCATAGCGTGTAAATTTCGGAGCAATTCCCAATCACCGTTGTATCTGATTAAGAAAGCGAAACGGTGCGTGTCATGGTAATAACGAGGTGTTTGCCTGTGTCATAAACAGAAACGAGACGTCGAAATTTTCTCTCGCTGAGCTTAAAATAACCGACTGCTCACGACAAAGTATTAACGCGATTAAATTTCAAAATTTCGCATGTAACATGCAAAATGGTTAGTAGTCTAGACCGATTGCTCGAGTAGCGTGACTTCACCGTCACCGTTCCTAGCCATTTCGGTGCAACCTTGCTCGGGCAAGGTGGTCACATATGGTCGCCTGCACCTGTCGAGCTAAACACGCGCGCACCCAACTGGTTCAACTATTTTCGAAGCACGTGCACATCGAGAACGAACGAAAATAAGATCGCGAAATCGCTAAAGCATCGACATAAACTCGATGACCGCGCGTAATCGGAAATAATGTCGCACGGTATAAATATGTAATATAAGCAATTCTTACCGAAGTGTTTCGTGTCGTAATCGTGAATATTTATCGTTTGTCATATTTAAGATTCAATCTCGCGTGTACCTACGTGTGTCGAAGTAATTGCGACAAATAGCCTAATTAATTGCCCGTGAATGGCGTTGCTCGCCTGTTTGGTGACTTTGTTATTATACAATCGTTGCTTAATCGTTACCAACACGCGTATGTTTAATTCAAGAAATTACGTACCTCAACTTATCAATGTTCAATGAATCTTAGTCGTTATTACACAATTATGATATTATTTCGTGGATTGTGAATGTACACAATCGCGTTTGTAAAAAATGTAAAAATTCTTTGCGTATACCTTTTTAATACAAATACATCTTTATTAAAAAATCGGTAAAAGTATTAATTTTCAACATTATAGTAGATAATCCATTGTTATTACGTAATCACTAATAGGTAATATTAATTAATGACGCGCATGAGAGTATGCGAAAATTGTAAAGGTTCGCAGAATACAAATTCTTTCGGGTAAATCATTAATTTTCTACACATCATTAACTGTTGCTCGATTTATTTCTCTCCTACTAAAATTTTCTTTCAAACGTAACGAACACATATAAATCATTATTTCGCACTCTCTCGGGGAAGAGCGCAAAATTTATTTAGTATAAAACAATTTCACTTTAAATAAAAACCATCAAGTTTCCAATCGGCAATGCAAATATGTACTCACAGTGATTATTAATATTTTAAAATATTTCGCCGAGATATTTCTCTGTTAATTGGAATAAATTTCAGTAAAAGTTTATTCACTATTTTTCCGCAACTTGCCTGCTATTGCAATTAACCCTTCATTTCTTGCGTGAGATATAATCCAAAATGCTCCAACTTTATAAATTCGCTAAATGTATAAATATACCTATAAATATTTGGAGATGTCAGAAACATGCGAATAATAAGAAAAAAGAACGCAAATAATGTAGAGCTAAGTACTCTGATATTTCGGATAATTTTTATCATGAGTTCACAAAATCGATCGTGTGAGTGCATTTAACAGAAATCGATCAATTGAATATTTCGCTGAAGATTGACTCTTTGAGTGACGTCGAAACATTTCACGAACAGTTGACAGAGAGACCCGGATACCGCGAGACGTTGGTGCTTTTTTCCCGCGATTAGCAAATCGGTGGAGCATCAAAAGAAGAAGAGGCCAACGAAGGAAGAGAGGCTTTCGTCCCCTCCTCCATTCACCTTTAATGCGAACGGTTGGTGCGCTCGCCGAGGCTCGACGGTTCGACGGCATCACAGTAGTCAAACGCAAACTGTCGTCGAAGCGGCGAAGAACCGCGACGGGCTGGCTACCGCCGGGTGTATATCGGGGCGCCGAATGCGAACGAACGAGCGAACGAACGAAACGAATTTGCCTACCTACGCGAACACGATGTGATCGCCTCTCGTTGCCTCGTCGAGCCAATTATATCGCCAATTTTGAGCGACTTTAAAGTCGCCCTCCGAGCTATACGTTCTCCGGGCGACCCAATTCGCCGAAATAAAGATGAGGAATAAACGAAAATAATATAGTTACCTCGCGAGAGCACGTCGCGACGAACCGCCTGGACTCCTCGACGGCTCCGTCATCGAGGGAAATCGGCCAAGATTGCGAGCGAGGACGACGATTGCGAGAACGATTTCGCGGCCGGCAGTGCCCGATGATGGCGAAAGACCGATGATTTCGTAGCGGAGTGTTAAAACGCACTGTTCACCGCGAGTGCACTTCCTTTTTCGAACGACTGATCTGACTGCGACGCTGTGAAGTTGACCGTAAAAAATGCATCTTGCCAATCTATAATTTTTCCGTTTGAATGCTGACTCACGATTGGCTAGAGAAAAATATTCCATATTTGAAAAAAGGAAACTTGCTGAATTCTCAAAATAGATCCGTTGTAAGATATGAGAATGAAAACATAATGTTGGCCGATAATTGGAACCCAAAGCGATAGCGCGCGTTGTTCTAAAATTGAAAAATACGATTATTTTTGCACATCGAGTACGTCGAAAAACGAATCATGTTCTTGAAATATCGAACAACTGACAAAGATAATTATATAGATTTGAAACGTTAGAGGGCAATTAAACGGTAAAAACGATACTACCTTTAATTAATTTACTCGCGAAATGTTATTAATTGGTGATTCGGAATAAAAAAGAATAAATTTCATTGAAAACTGGACCCAAGTCCCCCTCCCTAAGACGGCGTGAAGTAAGTAAACAACAAGTAGTAATCGGCAACTTCAGTTGGACGCGCGGAATTCTGACGAGTGTTTCATCGTAACAATTGCGTTTCCTTCTGAAAAGTCGCGCAGACAAGTACAATAGATCCACAAGACATCGACGAACGGCAAAAATGGGAGTGAAGAATTTCATCATGAAGAAGATTCCCTTCTGGAAGATGAAGGCGAAACGGAAATATCGTGAGTTCGTTTCAATGACCTGCATCTTTTGCATTGGAGAGAGAAGTATTTTTCGCTTGTGATTTGATTTCGATTTCTTCTGCGAGATTTGCTCGTCGATTAATATGCGCAATAATTTTTTAATTAAACTAAAGTAGAAAAATATCGAATAGGGCAAATCAAGACGCTGTACCAACGATTGCATTAACATTCACATTTTTTTTTGTAATTTGACCGCCGTGACGGAATGGACTGCCATTGTTTATCATCATACTGATTAGCGTACATCACTTATAGCAGCGGCGCAAGCGATTAACAGATAGTTTATCTAACAGTAAACAAGGTGAATTTGTTATCGAGAGTTGAATTCGTTATCTCGCCTCGTGAAATCGAACGACTTCAAAGATCGGTTGCTCTCTCCCTCTTTTACTTTATATGCCGACATCCGATCACGATGTTACGCTATTCGCGAGTAGCGCGCAATGCCTTTTTCCGTATTCGACAAGTGCATCTGCCTGAAACGTAAACGAGCAAAAAATGGAAGTGCCAGGGACGTCGCGAAATCGGAGTGTCAGTGTTCGAAAAAAATCTTATCTACGTTATCGTAACGATCAGTCGAAATGTAGTTTAGGAGCAGTGATAGAGAAGAAATTGCATCGCAGCGAACGCATCCATAAATAACGTATCCATAAATAACGCATCCATTTCATAAATTTGCGATTTTTATTCGCTCAGAATAAAGGATTTTTAATTGAGGAATTAGGTCGTATAAATCTTTCGTTTTGTTGAAAATTTAATTTTCTAGAAGTCTTTAAATAAACAGTGGTTATTTTATTATGACAAAAGCTAACTTCAGCTGACATGCGAACACGTAACTCTTGGCACGCAACAGTCGGATGGTTGCCTTGTTAATTTCTTTCGCTCCTCTTCGCGACGAATTTATCGCGATCTCATGATAGGCATGCGGCAGTAATGTTCGTCTCTGCTGCGAAACTTTCACGATGTTGGAGATCGGCGTTTAGCCTTTTTATTTCACTTAATCCACATGTGCAATGCGCGTGATGCGCGATTCGAACGCTTCAACGTTAATGATGATGCATATATAGAATATTCTGCAACCTTGCGACCTTAATTTTAATGATAAGTTTCTCCTCAATTAAGAGTCGATTTTTTCTTGGCAAAAATGACGAAGGAAGTCTGTTTCGAATGCTAAATATCTTTATAAATCTCTTTAAATCTCAAAATATTCTATTAAATTTGAAGAGACACTTTGCCAAAGAATACGTTATTAAAATTAAGATTGTAGATTGTGAAATATCTCGTGCGGACATATCGTTCGTCACGAATTGCGTGCTGAACATTTTGCATCGCGACGACCGAGCCCACGAGACATATCACGACATTGTCAAAGGAATTTGCCACTACGTCTGCCACATTTCTTCATTGTTCTCTTCGAGATAACGTTCTGCTCTGTAACGTAATTGCTCAAGTGCCGATTAAAAAACATTTCGTCAGAACAGGTGAACTTAGCCTGTAGTAAATGTTGCACAATAATAATACGTATATATGCAATAATACATAATATGGCGATATACAATAATGACGCAAAAAATTTAATCATTCTTCTCCATGTCTATTATCGAATAATGATACGTCAAAAAGAGCAATCAACGATTGCTAAAAGAAATAGCGACGTTATTAGTAGCTACATTAAATGAAATATTTCTAAGAAATATTCTTGTGCGATTCTATTGTATATCTAGATTCTAACGGGTTATAAAGAAAGAGAAAGGCACAAAATATCAATTTATTAATAAAATTATTTTATTATTTGTTTCTTAAAATAAATATAAGTATTATATTAAATAATACAAGTATCAATTATGGATTTTATTTTTCAAGAGTATATTTTTCTGAAAATCTCTCCCTCGTGCGGAGGAATCAGTTTAAATTAACTTCCTTAGTTAAAGGGTTAACAAAGCCGGAGGGCAGAGTTGATCGAAGAGGGAGATTAAAGTGGATGTTTCAACGTTCAGCGCAATCACGTTTTCTCAGAAATGAATAAAATATTTCTTGCAAAAAAAATGCATCGGATAGTTAAGCGTATAGTTTCCAAGACTAATTTTTTTCGCTAGATGGCACAAATGGGACGGCACCGGTGCAAAATGCGGCTCAGACAGACCAGCCGGCAGATTCTGACAACGCCAGCGTTGGAAGTGGCAATTCGAATCTTAGTACCGGCGCACTTCAGGTATGAAATTTATACTTTATTATCAAGGTTGGATAAGTTAACTTTTTTTTTTAACTAAGTTAAGTTAAAGTTAACAGCCTTGAAAATTTAACTTTATTACAATTTAAGTTAATCCATAATGGAATTAATTGAATTAAAAGTTAAGTTAATAAAAAAAGTAATTAAAAAGTTAAAAGTTAAATTTGGTCCGAACGGACAACCAAAAAAAAAAGAAAAAGAGAAAGTTTGACCATTTCACATAATTTTTTGTATTTTTCCTTTCTCACAGCATATTTATTAAAGAATCTGGTTATTTTTCACAAGTAACGATTATACAATATAAAATTATTAAACTATATGCTTATTATTCTCTCTTATTATGTCTGAAGATTAACTTAAAAAAAAATCAAATTAAAAGTTAATAATTATCGATAAAATGTAATTAAATTAAGTTAAAAAGTTAAGAGTCTAAAATGTCTTAACTAAGTTAAGTTAAAATTAATTAACTTTTTAACTTTTTAACTTAACTTTTATCTTTTTAATTTATCTTTTTATTTTTTTAATCTAACACTACCCAACTTTGTTTATTATATATTTATATAACTATCACATTATACAATATTACTATAAATTATACATTATATTATGATTTATTTGTTGTAAGAAAAAAATTGCATAGGTGATTAAAATTCGAGCAACCGAAAATTGAAAAGTTACACAATGATTTTATTCTTGCCACTATCCTATAAAAGATTTTTAATATTTTTATACATTATTCCTTATTACTCCTAATTTTAATTGATTTCTAATTAAATATTTCTAATCTTAAACTTGATAACAGTCTTTACCAAGCTCCTTTTCTTCTTTAGCTTCTAATTTTATATAATATTAGTAAGTTGACTTAACTTTGTAAAATATAAGAACAAAGAGAGATAATATTTTTTATATGTTACAGAATATCAGAGAACAAATGGCGGCATCTCTGGAACGAATGAAAGAGCTAGAGGAACAGGTCAAGGCGATTCCCATGCTGCAGGTGAGTTCTCACTAATTTCCTATTCTCCCACCTACGCTTTCGTAACGTTCATCGCCCGGCATGTAATTTGTACCCAGGCGAGCTCTTCCGTTCTAGCGAAACGTTCGTGTGTAAGATATTCCCGCTGCTTTATCATGATCTCGTTGTTCTTATTACGACGACGTCTCGTTGCACATTCAGTACATAAACTATGCGAAAATATGAAGTTCTCACACATTTTTAAAAAAATTTCGTAAATTTATATTTATATTCATGTAACAATCGCTACCAATTGTAATATAATAAACTTGACCTAAAAAATAATAAAATTAAAGAAGATAAAGATTTTTTGTATTTTATTTTTAATCAATCTTATATATTAATTTCATTTTGTTTAATATGAAAAACACAGAATATTTTATTCCTAGCTTATTCTATCTATTGATACCTGATCTAAAAAATATAATTACATAGAATATTAGTCATTTCCCGGGAAAAAATATTTTATATATAATTTTATAAAGGGTTATTCTATTGCTACAATTTATTTAGTATTCCTTCAATTGGTAATATTTCTATTACTTCCGCAGCGCTAAAAATCATGTTTTCTCACGCGTCGCAATTTTATCAATCTCTATAAAAAAAACTACACTATTGCCAGACTTATCTAACTCCGTACACATAATCTCTTTCTTTTCCTCTTGCAGGTGCAAGTCTCGGTATTGAAAGAGGAGAAGCGCAATCTCCTACGGCAAGTGGACGAGCTGAGTAAAACGAATTCCTACAATGACACCCTACACAGGCATCGCAGTCAGTCGTTTTCGGAACAACACAGCACCCTACGAAACTTGAAGAACTCTGAAAGCGTATCTACCAGGGACATGGGAACCATGTGTGGCGTGATGACAAGGGATGTCGGGGTGTCGTACCAACCGGTAAGAATTGTATTTTTATTTAAGCATACAAGCTATTTATTTCTCTAAATATCTAAAAGACGTCTAGCAAATCTTGAAATTCTGAATGTGTGTTTTTATTAAAATTATTTAATTAAATATTTTAGAGAATATATTATATTTTTTGTTGTTATTTTAATATATTAGTTTATTAACCTTAATAGCTTCATTAAACTTTACTTCACTACACACTTTTAGAATATTTATCTATTTTTACTGTAATTCTATATAAAATAAATAATAAAGAACTAATCAAATTAGAATTAAAGATAATCAATATTATATATTAAAGTTAATTTAAACTTCTATGCTATTTGATGTATGTAATTTTTAGATTACATATCTAGTTTCTTTTTTAAGTTAGAATTTCTCATTAAATTATTCGTCGGTTATATACATCCTGAAATGAGCATCGATTGCTTGTTCTCTAATTAGAAGTGAAAATCGGAATTTAAATGGAGATATATTATTTTGTCGTGTCATTTTCTTACATCGTCGAAGTCCAGCGATTTTCGCGCGCGTGTACATATTTCGCATAAATATTTATAAATAGATACGTCGAGATTGAAGATTATAAAAATATTAGTTACAATATGTATCCGCTTTTTAATACAATGCTGCGTTTCTTTCTGAAACTTCCCAGATATGTCATCGGTAATATAATCTGCTCGGTATGCAATGGTTCGTAATATTTAAGGCGATTAACAACGTATATTCAAAATCAATATTATGTTATTTTATGTAAAATTGTGTAGCAATTACATCGAGGCTAATTAGTGTATAAAAGGAGATATACGTATATATAAATATAATTCTGAACAAAAATATGCTTTAATAACTTATATTCAAATTTACCAAAACTCATTGCATCGAGTTAACAATTATTCGCGTACAGGTTCGAACGAGAGACGTCGGTATGATAACAAGCACACCGATCAAACCATCGCTACAGAAAAGTCATTTACGAATCGAAGAGATTGCGCCCGAGATCCAGGACCAGAGTACCGTATTGGCCGACGAAACATCGTCAAACTTCTCGAACCTTTGCGATTCCCAGCATCGTAGCTGGAAATCGAGTTTGACCCGCAGTCAACTGATGCTGGAAGAGATCCTGCCGGAAGTACGAAAACAGCAATTAACGAGAACTTTGCTTCAAGTGGAATCTATACCGCCTAACGAAAACAATGTGATTAATCGCAAAACCATAAAGAAAACGCGAGACTTCGGTATCAATACAGAAAACAAGTCCAGGAGTCTTCAATACAGTCACTTCCTAATTGAGGATATTGCACCGGAAGCAAAGAAGGAAGTAAAAAAGCGTTCTTTCGGCACAACAACAAGATTAAATATGAAGGATCTTCTAACGAAGGAAGATGCTGAATTGCTTGTGGAACATGCTTTAAGGAATTACAAGAACAGTTTGGTAAAAGACACTTCCTCCAGGAGCGTTCAATGCAGTCCAGAAACGCCTAAAGTCGCTGAAAAGCGGGATCGGGCGGTTCAAGTGACGGAGCAGTTTAGAATGCGCTCGCACGTGAGCGTAACTGCTAAGCCGATGACGTCGGAGGTCGGGATCGAAGTCAAACTCGGTTCTTGCATTAGAAGCATAGGCGTTGGACCAGATCCAGTGCAGCCGCCTGTGTCGTTGAACTGGATAAATTTGAGAAGTCATTCGTTCAACTATGGTGACACGCGAATGAAGACAAAAGCTAGCAAATCGGTAGCGGTGATGGTGGAGGACTTGGTAAAAACCATCACTCGCGGCACCGATACTTCCGGTCTCGCGCCAAAGTGTCGAGATTTTGGTACCTCGACGATGAAGAAGACGTTGATCGATGTGTCGGTCGGTGATTCTGTGAGGCCACACATCTCGATCTCTTGCGCGGCGAATTATTGCGACAATTGCAAGGAGACAATCAAAAGTTTGGCGAAGCAAATCGCAAATAATGCAGAGAACAGCTTGAATCATCAGAATAGCAATATGGTATCCAGGATTCCGAGGCCATCCCATATTCCTCTGAATACCAGCGATTATAGAAGACAGTTCAAACGTCAGGACACTTACACGAAAATACCAGCCGCCGGTGTGATTAGATACGACACGGACAATAAAGAGCAGTATGACAGTAGTAATCGGTTAGTCATTTGGAATTACCTTTATTTTATCTTATCTTTTACGAGATACTGGAGAAATAATAGAGATTTAGAGATTACAAATTTAAATATTTTTATTGCAAAGTATTCTTAATCTATGGGAAATAAATTAATCATATCTAAATTATTCTGCAAAAAACGATGAATTAGGGAGAGTGAATTACTAAATATTATTTTACTCCATGAGGCTTTATGAAATCTTTATTATTTACTTGGAGAAAATTACAAATTGCATATAATTAGTACATGATGGTTATCAAGATGCTTTGAATTAGTTCGAATATGACGTTCAAATCAAAGAAACTTTTCTTTAACCGTATAGCAACAATTTCCGTATAGCTCAAATTTCTTTAATTCAAACAAATGCTTTTTTAATCGAAGAAATCGAGAATTATCAAATTTTAAGACCTATCAAGACTTTCAAGAGTATACAATTTCGAATAATATTCGAAATGTTTCGAAACAGAGCAATAATTGAATCGATTAAAAATTCGCAAGAGATATGATCGAATATCCATCATTACATAATTATTCTTATAATTATTCTTTTAAATTATGTCAAGTTTAAATTTATTGTGTAGTTTTAAACTTAATACTTCCAAATGAGTAGATTTCCAATGATGATTTCCAAAATGAGAACGAAGCATTTACCCCTTCAAAACTCGATCCTCTCTTCCCGCTCAACTACGCTCCACGCCATCTGTTATTTCCGTGGTCGAAGGTCGCTTTTGCAAGGGGGTTGTTTCGCGTAAAAGAGGGTGGAAAAAGGATAGCACGAAGCCAATTACAGAGCCGCGTATGACGTACTTCGTGCCTGCCAAGCGTGCCGAGATAGTTTGTTGTTGTTTTTGAGTCCATGGTTGCGCGCGTGTCGAATGCGTCATCGAGTGCTCTTCCTGGCACAGCAATTACGTACAAAATACCGCGACGAAAGTGTCGAAGCGTCAGATATTAATGCGCGTCTCACATTGTACTGACGGTTTTGCAATGGTGAACGAATAAGTGTATCCTCGATCTGGACAGATCGATGCAACAGCAGCAACAGCAAACCACCTCTCGTTTATTTAGCGATCTTGAAGTCTCCGATATCTCGCCTTGTTTGACCACGGAAGGGTAACTTCCCCCCCTTTTCCACTATCTGATATCTTCTATTTACAGCATCATACTCATTGCTACTAATTTCATCAGTATCGTGTTAAATTTTGAATATTTTAATATTAATAACTTTATTAAGGATACTTTTATAATATTTCATAAATCTTTTTTATTTAAGATTTGAAATTTTTAACCTTTTCAATTACGCCAATTATTAGACTATATTAATTTTATTGAATAGATTTTGCAACTTTCCTTATATAATATGTACAAAGAATAATAATTAATCAGATGAGTGTTATACGTATATAAGTATTATATGCCAAGTATTTTTAAACAGATATTTAAAAAATTGTTTCTTCTTGGCTCTTACAGCATTCAACAATTGCAATCCGAGAAAATCAAGGATGAGAAGATTGTGTCAGAAGAGATGCGTAACGTGGAGAAGGAGACAGATAATGAGGAGAAGTCGGAGCTACCAGAATCAGCTTTGTTTCAACCAATCCAAGATAAGCCTAGGAAAAAGGTTGAGCCCTCGAAGGAGATGCAGGCCGCCATGAAGGTGCTCAATGACAGTATCAAGAAATCACCTAGCAGAAATATCTCTCATCAGCTTAAAAATGCTACCAATATTATACAGCAAGAATGGTTCAAAATATCCAGCACATCTAGCGCGAATCCGTTAGATGTCGAGGATTATTTGGACCGTTTTGAGGAATGCTCGAGCACTCTGCTCGAGTATATTGTCAATATGACGGACACCAGTGGAAATACAGCGATGCACTATGCGGTCTCTCATGGCAATTTCGACGTGGTGTCTATATTGTTAGATTCGAAAGTATGCGATATTAATAAGGCGAACGTGGCTGGTTACACGGCTGTGATGTTAGCTGCTCTGGCAGAAGTCAGAAATTCCACGCACGCCTCGGTAGCGAATAGATTGTTCCAGCTTGCTGACGTCAACATCCGAGCAAAATTGGTAGGCTCAGCTACATTATAATAAATACAATAGAAGTATTATCTATGTTTACGAAAATAATTAAAAAAATTTTCTCCTGTTTTTTTTTAAATATATTTATAATTATCTAATTTTTTTTTGTGCAAACAGCATGGGCAAACTGCGCTGATGTTGGCAGTATCGCACGGACGTAAGGATATGACGCAACTGCTGCTAGATGCTGGAGCAGCAGTTAATATTCAGGATGAAGACGGTAGCACCGCATTAATGTGCGCAGCGGAACACGGCCACACCGAGATCGTGAGGTTGCTCCTTGCACATCCGGACTGCGACCCATCTATCGTCGACGTAGACGGCAGTTCGGCCCTGAAGATCGCCCTGGAGGCGGGTAACCGGGATATTGGAGTGTTACTTTATGCTCATGAGCACGTTAATCGAGGCATCAGCCCATATTCTACTCTGAGACGAAGCAGAAGAGGTTCCAAGCCGACAACGCCCACTGGACCGTCTCCTTCGGCTCCAGCTAGCCCGGCGCCATCGCGACGCATTCACTCGTCCAGCGTTTCTCTGAACACATCGAAATATTCCAAATAATTCCGATAGCCGATCCTTTATATACAACTTTCTTAAGATTCATCCATCATGATTTTTCTTTTCACACATTATTTAAAACGTATAGTAATTGGCAAGCGAGAGTCACAGTATAACTGGAACTTTATATTTAAGTATAACTTTTCTTTTATGTAATCTGTTTTATATTCTCCTATAAGTTATGGTTATATTTATAATGTATATTGTTATATACATCATGCTGCGAACATACGACGCGATACATTGAAGTCCTCTTGCCTAACGATCGATTTCTTTCGATAAAACTGTATTGTATAATTTAGGAAGTCAAGAACAATGCTCAACACTGTATATATCTATTCAGGGTAACGTTGGAAAAATCTTGTAGTTTAGTTTGTAGCAGTAATCTTTAATAATAGTCCAGTGTAGGTGCTGCCAGGCATTTTGACGAATCTTTCATAAATCCTTCGTAAATTTTATACGATTTTAATTGTATAGCACATCCTTGAGGAATACAATTTTTCTCTTAGACAGGATGTGGAAGTACAAAATAATTAATATCCATGACGATACAATCCACAGCAAAGAAAATTGGTTAACCTTTTTGTGTTTTTCTTTTTGGACTCTGTGGCATTGAACATTCCAAAAAGAACAATCGTCGATCCGAATTTCTTACGGTAGAAATTTATACAATATTTAATACATCCAAAGTTCAGGCCTAATCTCAAATTACTCCTTGGGATCAAATCGTCAATATCGTGTGCATATATATACATATTATTTATATACACACGATATACAGATACACCGATATGCGTAGAGAAACATTACGTAGTAATATATGTAATAAATGTATATGTTATAACAGTGTGAGAATTTTACGATTCAATAATTGACGGCGTTTTCATGCGCGAGCGACATCAAACGTACTTATCACTGTTCTATGTTGAGATAAAGATGTTGGATAGTGAAAATTGTATAAAAGCAGTATATCTAGTTGTAAAACGTATCGAAAGACTTACGAAGAAAATTATGTTTTTGAACTTGTTAACAATTTTCATATCGAGAATTTTATATATGATCATATCGAGACGTTAATATATGTTTATTTAACCGAACGAATCGTCAACACGAGCATTAAGAATAATAGCGTTCCATTTACGTAAAAGAAGAATAAATACACTGTGAACGTTTTTCTTATAAGGTTGTGAATAGAGTTATAATTAAATTATTTAAGTTCGAGAGAGATCAAAGATCCATAGTTAAACATTATCGTAAGTGTTTCTCCATCTCCGAGAGTAATTCTATGGCGATTGTTGGCGTGAGATATATAATTGTCTGTATATCAAACGTGTAGACAATGTATGAAACATCTTGATACCGTAGGAATTTATAGAAAGTAGAAAAGTACTCCTTTATTGTTTGTGCCTTTATATTTAATATATAATACTATTAATAACACTCTGAAACACGATTCTTTAAATGCCCCTCGTCTATAATCGATCTAATATACAGGATGTCTCACAACTACCACATTTCCTCTTAAGAACGTGTTTTTGAGGTAATTTTGAGACGAAAATTCTAATACAAAAATGTCGAGGCTACAAGTTTTTTTACTTATAATTGGTTAAAGATAGTTTGTAATTCAAAAACTATTATGCGGGGTCTACAATAGAAGTCGTAGCGATCGTAGGGTCTTAAGTCATAGAAAATTGACCAATCACAGTTGAATATTCTTCTCATATTCGACTGTTATGGGTCAATTTTCTACGACTTAAGACCCTACGACTGTTACGACTTCTATTGTAGATCCCGCATTATAGCCACGATATTTTTGTATTATGCGGGGTCTACAATAGAAGTCGTAGCAGTCGTAGGGTCTTAAGTCGTAGAAAATTGACCAATCAGAGTCGATTATTCTTCTCATATTTGATTGAGATTGTTAATTTTCTATGACTTAAAACTCTACGACCGCTACGACTTCTATTGTAGATCCCACGTTAAGCTGGTTCTACATTAGTCGCGTCGCAAGCGTGTCGCAAATGTTGCGGTCCAATCAAAGTCGAGCTAGCTTGTCGTTGATTGGACCGCAACGCTTGCGACGCTGCGATGCGACTAATGTAGAACCAGCTTTAAGCCCATGGCACATACAAATAAGGTCGTAACACATAAGCAGTAATGCGGGGTCTACAATAGCAGTCGTAGGGTCTCAAGTCGTAGAAAATTGACCAATCACAATCGAATATGAGAAGAATAATCAACTGTGATTGGTCAATTTTCTACGACTTAAGACCCTACGACCGTTACAACTTCTATTGTAGACCCCGCATAAGGAAATCGTAACATTGGATTCGCTACTGGCCTTACGGTCTCTACTGTGCGATTGGCCAATTCGCTTATTGATTACGGCCTTACGTTTTTGACTGTGTTCCAAATTTACTGCCAGCACTGAAAATGTTACAGTTTACGTTACGTGCACATAGATTTTCAGTATTGGCAGTCAATTTTGGAACACAGCCTTTGTATGTGCCATGGGCTTTACGGAACGTACTCTTGGCCAAGTGAACCTTGAAACGAGGACCAGGGCCACCCAAAACTAAAGAAGAAGATGCTTTTACAGAATATACTTCCGCAATTTGTCTATTAAATGCTGACGCTCTGTACATATTTAATTAATTATATATACATATATATATATATATACATTCATACACCAAATGCAGGATTGGTAAGTTAACTTTTTTTTTAACTAAGTTAAGTTACAGTTAACAGCCTGAAAATTTGACTTTATTAAAATACAAGTTAATTCATAATGAAATTAATTGAATTAAAAGTTGAGTTAATAAAAAAGTAATTGAAAAGTTAAAAGTTAAATTTGGTCCAGACAACCAAAAAAGAAAGAAAAAGAAAAAGTTTGACCATTTTATGTACATAATTTTTTGTATTTTTCCTTTCTCACAGCATATTTATTAAAGAATCTGGTTATTTTTGTTCACAAGTAACGATTATACAATATAAAATTACTAAACTATATGCTCATTATCCTCTCGTATTAGGCCTGTTCTTTTTGGCTGAACTTTTGCACCACAGTTCATCTTTCTTCCTTTTCTCTCCAGCAGGAAAAAAGAGGAAAAAAGATGAACTGGTGCAAACGGTCAGCCAAAAAGAACAAGCATAGTGTCTGAAGATTAACTTAAAATAAATCAAATTAAAAGTTAATAATTACCGATAAAATGTAATTAAATTAAGTTAAAAAGTTAAGAGTCTAAAATGTAACTTAAATGTAAGTTAAAATAAATTAATTAACTTTTTAACTTAACTTTTATCTTTTTAATTTAGCACTACCCAACCCTGACAAATGTTAATTAATACTCTATAGTTTATATAGCAAAAAAAGAATCATTTCAAAAGTATTTGTAGAGTATCGATATTATTGACTGGCGATATAAATTTTTCTTTACAACATATATAAAAATTAATTTATAATTAGTTAAGAAACATTAGGATAATAATAAATCTTAAAATTATAATAAAAAAAAATTCTAATTCTTATTGGTGACCTAACATAACTTTTTAGTCATAGCAGTTAGTACTTGTATTGTATTCTCAATCAATTGATAGCATCGATCCCTTTCATTTCGATACACGTCACTGCGATGCACTACGATCGTGACGTTGACACATATTGACACATATTTTCTATTCTCCGGCTGTCTGCATTTTCTATTTAATTGGTAAATTGAAAATGTTATTATATTGAAAAACTGAACAGATATTTGAAATAGTTAGTACGAATGTGTCGTTTATTTGAGGTTATATTTATATGTTAATATTTTCAGTTTAACTATTTTCGTTTAATACAATTTACTTACGTGGAAAACATATTTTTACTTAAATAATTTTTATTATTACTTAACTGAGTAAGTCTATTTTGTATTACAAGTATTATATTTATATAAGCATAAATAATTGAACTGACCTCACAATATGTATTTTTCTAGATAAAAAAAGATTGAAATATTTCTCAATTTTTAAAGGTGTTTTGTGGGACAATAATTTTCTTTTGTATCTGTTCATCTGTTAACCTATCAAGATTGCTAACAAAATGCGACGTTCTCATTCAGGTAAGTTGTCAGTTAACAAATACATCGATTCTTATTTTAAACATAATTTTTACTTTTTCAGGAGGTTATGGCTATGAGCCATTACCAAGTACATCTCATAATACTATGGAAGACGAGAATGAAAGGATGACTGAAGAATTGAAGGATAAAATTCATGCTTTAAAATCATTATCTATTGACATTGGCACGGAAGTCAAATACCAAGATAAAATGCTAAAAGGCATGGTTAGTTGACTAGCTTTTTTAAGACGTTGACATAATTTTGTATATTATTTTATACATAGCAAATAATACAAATTTATATTTTAGGATGACGATTTTGATAGAACAAGTGGTTCCTTATCTGGTTCTGTAGCACGTGTATTGCGTTTAGCAAAGGCAGGCCACAACTATTATATTTTATATTTATTTCTTTTTTCTATAGCAGTATTTTTTGTATTATGGATAATTTTGAAATTTAAATGATGGTACATAAGGAGTGTATATCAATTGCACACGAGCCGATTGCGCAGAAGCCAATTACTGCGTTGAAAAAAAAAAACCATGCAGAAGTCGCTGTGATTGACAGTGAGCAATTGCTACAGTGTGCAAGTGAATCACTCACGTACATAAGTCTATAGATAAGATGAGAGAGGGTGATATGTGTATAAAACGTAATTAGGATAAAAGTATAATAGTTTGTGATTAAGTTATTCAACTATCTTGAATTTTTCGCATTATTTCATCATACAGGAAACTTTACTCTCATTTTATAAAATAACATACGTATTGTTATGTCACCTGTAAAAAAATAATTTGAAAAAATAGCGAGATGACATACTCTTAAAAAAGAGAAATATTTTTTTGTACAGATATGTTATGCTCATGAAAAAAATATAATCTGTAAATGATAAGATCAAAAATTGTATTTTTATTTTTTAATTATCCTTTTCGTCATAAATTCTGATATGATAAATTGTTCTTTTTATGATCTGCTTTCTAGTTTATTACTACAAAGAACTAAATTACTAAATGATAAAAGCGCCTTCTTTTTACCCTATATTTCTCATATTGGCGACACTGTGTGCTCTCAGGAATTTGGTCGTAAACATGTGGTAGCTTTAAAAGAATTGATAGGTTAGAGACGCGAAAATAGCGAAAGTGCACTGAATGGTTATGATTTTAATGCAAAAAGTTTACGTGTGGCCTCTCATCTGATTTTTGAAGAGGCATTCACTGGATCTAAGTACTTGATCCATCTCATCGCATGATACTGTGATCTTATAAGTTATAAGTGGGTCAGAAATCCATAGGGGAAGAAAGAAGAAGAATACAAAAGGTTGTACAAGATGAAGATTAAAACTTTGCGAAAGAATCCTCTGAGTCGACCCAGGGAGGAAGATGAAGTGGCGAATGATCAACCGAGTACGTCAGCGGATATAGCTTCAGAAGTTTTGCTGCCGTCTGACAGTAATTTTAACCACATCAAATGCAAAGCTCTGAGGTACCAGAAATGCCAGGAATTGATGAAAGAACGAGCGAAAGCAAAGAAAGCAGCGAAAAAGGCGAGGATACAATCGGGCGCTCCGAAACAGGTGCCACATACTTTAGAGAGCCTACGAGAGAAAGATGAGACTACGATAGTAGGTAATCTGGATGATGAGGCGAATGAGGAGCTCAAATTTGACCTTGAACATGACGAATTTGCTGCCTACTATAAGCAAGAATATGAACCTAAGGTCCTCATTACATATGCCGATAATCCAAACAGGAAAACGAGAATTTTTGGCAGAGAACTTACAAGGATGGTACCTAATTCCATTTCGCTGTATAGAAATCGCTCTGGCGTTAAAAAAATGGTCAAAAGTGCTACTGCCCGAAACTTTACAGATATAATCATTGTCAATGAGGATCAATGCAAACCAAGTATCCTTATAGCTGATTATAAACTGATAGTGTATGGTCATTTATAAATATTGTAATAAACTAATACTTTATCTGTTGTATAATATATCCTGTAGATAAATTGATAGGAAATTATTAGAGGCATCAGAAATTTTTTGGAAGCTTTACTTAAAAAGCAATTTACTTGACCAATTTTAATTATACATCATATAAAATATCAAGCTCTTAAATTTAAGTTATTTTTATTTTGAAAGTTTTCCTTAAATAATTGTTAGATGGAATGTTAGTCATTCATCTGCCAGACGGTCCTACTGCACACTTCAAAATTAGTAATGTCAAACTAACAACAGATTTAAAGCGCAACCATAAGGAGATCACAGAACACAGGCCAGAAGTTATTCTCAATAACTTTACTACACGCTTAGGTTTCACCATCGGCAGAATGCTAGGAGCCTTGTTTCATTATCAGCCAGA